ACCAGGCAGGCGGCGGAGAGAGCCCGGCTCGGCGCGTGGTCAGCTCCAAGTAAGCAAAGTCCCTAGTGCTGCCCGTCCCGGGACACCTCAGTGCGGAGCCCGAGACCCTTCCCCCTGAAAGTGGGTTGCTGAGGAACGGGGTCACCCCACAGCTGGGGTGGCTGCCCCTGCCTGGCCATCCTTGCCAGGGCACTGGGAAACCAACGTTCATTGCTCACACTAGAGCTTTGCTTCAAAATGTGGGCTCAGGAGCTTCACTCCGTGGGCTGGGCCTCCTGGGGGCCTGGGCCGGCCCTGCCCTGTCCTCTGCCCAGGAGCCTCCTCTGATTTCTCCTTTAAAATGGCCTGGACTCTAAGGACACCCCCAGGGCCCCTCAAAGGTGAGCATGGATGCTGTGCTGGTGGCCTTAGGGGCCTGGGGGTCTCTGTGTCCTCACTGGGAGGCCTGGTCTGGTGGCCTCTCTCCAGATGGCCTGAGGGGTGCTGGGCCTGACAGAGAGACCACTGAACAGGAGCCCCTCGGTGTGGCCTGTGGATGGGGAGGTGCCCGTAAAGGTTGCTGGGGTCCCAGGGCTCCCCACCTCCCCACCCTCTTGGGGGAGGCAATGCCCTCCTCCTGCAGGGAAGCCGGGCCACCAACGGGCACAGCTGCAGTGAGCAGGGATCTGCGAGGGGGCTGCAGGCCGGGTGGCACCTTGGACTCGCTGGGGGATCCTGACCACATGCCCCTCCCTGGGCTGGGTCTGGCATGAAGGGGGTCAGGCTGGCGCTGGTGGATCTGAGGCCTGGGAAGGTGGTGGTGCCTGCTGGGCATCTCTAGGCCCGGGGTTCCAGGGCCTGCCAGCCGTGACCACTAACTTCTGCCCAGAGTGGCAGGGGTGGGGGCCTCCCCTCAGAGGCCACCAGCTGCCGGCCCCAGGGCAGGTGAGGTCGAGGGTCAGGACCCTGGAGGGAAGAGCAGAGGGAAGGGGCATGGCGGGCAGATGGGCAGGCACCACATGGACGGATGAGTGGAAGGCCGGGTCTGAGGATGGTGGCTCCCCTAGCCTGGCCCAGGGAGTCAGGGGACGCTCCTCACACCCCGCCCAGCCTCCAGGACTCATTCCCAGGGTTGGCTTAACCCTGCCCCAGCATAGTGTTGCCACCCCTCTTCACACAGAGTCACTATGTCCCCAGACTGTGGGAGAGGCACGGAGGCTGTCGTAGTGGTTGGCAGCCCCGTCTCCAGCACGGGGCTTTGAGGACCCGAGCTGTGGGACCCAGGGGCTTGGCTCCTGAAGGGCTGCGTGTCCTCGGGCTTTATTTGAGCCTCTCTGAGTGGGGGGCCAAGTGGTCAGTCCCTGCTGGGGGTCTTGGCCAGGCGCGGGCTCCCGGGAGCCTCTGGGGGCTTCTGCTGCTGAGCCGTTTACAGAGGGCAGCCAAGCGTTCTGGGAATGGCTGTGCCTGGGTCCACAACTTCCAGGGTGGCCTGACCCCAACCCCAAGCTGTGTGGTGCTGGGCACTGGCCTCCACTGCGGTCTGCCAGGGACGTCTGTCCGTCAGGTGAGATCTTGGAGATCCACCCAGCTGAGGACCTGGTTGGCTACCCACAACCTTCCCTCCCACCTGAAGGGCGGGGTGCAACAGCTTGAGGTCCTGTGTCAAATGCATCGCTTGGGTGAGGACTCGGAGCCACACCCAGGCCTGTGGGAGGGTTTTGTGCAAACATCATGCCCAGAACAGCGTCTGCTGTTGACCCAGCGCCCACCAGGGAAGGCTGGAGCCATCGGAGTCCCTTCGAATGCAGGCCGGGGTTCCTGTCGGTCACCACGCCGGCCGTGAACAGGGCTGCCTGCTCGTGTTGCCCGCCTGGCCCTTCCTCACCACCCATGCCCCTGCCAGCCTGACCGTCTGGCACTGACAACTGCTGAGGGCAGTGGCGCAGCTGCAGAAAGCCCACAGCTGCGAGGGAGCTGCCCCGGCAGGCAGGGCCTCGGGGCACTGAGGAGGGCAGCAGGAAACGAGGGTCACACGGGCTCCGACCCAGCCAGCCGAGCCCAGGGCCCCCTGCTCCTGGCCCCCCACCCGTCTCTCCTGTAAATTAAAGAATGAGACAAGGCTGAGACCATCTCCCTGCTCCACCGTGGCCTCGGCGTCAGCTCTGGGATGACTGTGGGGCGTTGTGGCTGTTTGCTGGCCCACCTGCCCCGGGCATCTTTGTGGAGGCCCAAGCGAAAACCACTGCACCCGCCTTGACAAACCCACGACGGGGCTCATCCATGAAATCACAGGGCAGCCCCGCACCAGGCTACACACAGTGTGGATGGGCAGGGGACATGGGTGGACATGAGGGAACGCCTGGAAGCAGCCCCCACACCTGCCTGTCTGGGCACGACGAGGCGCAGGCTCTGCCCCTGAGCAGCCCCGGGCAACGCCTGACCTCAGCCGCGTGGTCCCAGCAAAAGTATTGGCAGACGCTGGAATCTGAACACTGTGTCATTTTCTTGGTCACAAAAAGGGTCTTTTGATTTTTTCCCCCGTCATTAATAAGGTGACTGCTGTCCGGAGCTGTCGGGGGGATTTGGCTTTGGCTACAGCTGCCACCTGCAAGCTAGATTAGATTAAGAGGGTAAACGAGCCACAGGCGCCGTGCGCGCAGGGCCGGGGACACGGGGCATCGCAGGCGGCCACTGCTCTTCCCAGCCGCTTGCCGCTCGTTTGGTCAGTGTGCAGGTGGAGCACCGGAGGCTCCGGCGTGGGCCCAGCATTCCCGGTGCGGCCGGCCTGAAGAGCCCTGCCTGCCCAGCAGGAGAGAAAAGCCAGGAGGCGGCGGCCGGGGCAGGACAGAGCCAGGAGCCTCCAGGTGTGGGTGGGGCCGTCTCCTGTCTCATCCCCCGCCCCCCGCAGCCTCGTGGCTTTGGGCTGAACTGACCCCCAGCAGGTGCCCATCTCTGGAGCAGGTGCCCACTGGGAATAGGGCCCGGCCAAGCCAAGACTACTCCCCAGGGTCAAGGAAGTGGGGTCAGGGACAGAGACACGGCCCACCCTGGGGGACTGCAGTTTCGGATCCCAGGATTCCAGCAACTGGGGGTCGGGGTGCACAGGAGCCAGCTCTGCCAGGCTGGGCATGCCACTGAGTGCCTGGGCATCAGCAAGGGCAAGGAGCTCACCATAGTCACACAGCTGGCCCTGGCCAAGCTCGGAGCAGGATGGGAATGCAGGGCTGTGTGTCCCGGCTGTGTCTTCCACGCAGCCGGCTGAGTCTGGAGGGCTGCTGCCTTCCGCGCCTGCTCCTGCTCTCCTTGCTTTTCTGTGCGTTTAGCTGTGTGGGGACCCCTGGAGCATCCTGCCTTAGGGTGCTCAAGGGGGGAGGGGGCAGAGGAAGGGGAGCCATGCTGGGTAAGGGGCTTTATGTTTCCTGGGGCTCTGCTATCTGTCTTCTCATCTCCCTGGGAGGGGTGAGAATACAGACCTGAGTGAGCAGTGGACATTGCCAGCTCAGTGACCAACGAGAGGGTCTGAGTGTCCAGTGCCGAGGGAAAGCCTCTCCCTGCCGGATGCAAAAGTGACGCTCCCTGTGACGGTGGAGCTGGCCCATCCCAGCCTCGGCGGGGAGCTACAGGTCCTGGGTCCCGGATCACTGTAAGAAAAGTCCGAGAGCTCACTAGACATGCAGATTCCAGGCCCCATACCCCACCCCCACCCGTCAGAGCCTCCAGGGCAAGGGCCTGGAAACCTGAATTTTTACCAAGTGTGTTTGGTGAGTCTTACGAACAAGCCACATCAGCCTGGCACCCCGATGCCTGCCGGCCCCACACCTGCCCTGTGTGCACCTTGCTCGGGTCCCCTCCCTCTGCCCTGCCCCTCAGCAGGCTGTCTCCTCCGAAAAGCCCCAGGCCCCTCAGCTGCAGGTCTCTGCCCTGCAGACTCTCTCAGCCACACAGTCGGGACCTGCTCACTGCAGGGGCTCCCCATGGAATCTCCCCTCTTCCTGCAGCTTTGGGTGGAGGGTGGGAGGTGTGCGCAGTTGCCCAAATGTCAACAGATGAAGTAACGTAGTCTCTCTGCCTGTGTGTCTCCTTGTTCCAGGAGAAGCGTGTTGACCACAAATAAGCAGAAAGACAGTTAAACTCCGCCACCCCAGCCAGCCCCTGGTGAGGAGCCGGCACTTCCTTCCCGTCTTTTTTACCGAATCTTTTTTCCACATGTAGCTCAGTTCACCCCTCCCACCCCCACAGCGCACACTAAGGCAGTGGCCACAGTGCTGAAATACCTGGGGCCCCACCTGTATCCTCAGAGGCTTTGTCCACCTTCCTGCCCGAGGTTCTGGGGTCAATGTGGTGCCAACATGCCGTCCACGACCAGTGCGGGCGACCTCGTGCCGTCCACAAACACTCCTGAGCCAAGCCCTGGGGACACGTTCTCCACATTCTGCTGGCTCTGACAGGCGTGGGGTCCCGTGGCTTCACCAAAAATGTCCTGACTTCCTTCCTCCTGAGCCTTGGATGGAGGCGAAGGCCTGAACAGTCTCCTGTGGGTCTCCCACCACCCCCATTGTGCCCACCGCACCTGCCGCACTCACCATGTCCCCCACCCTACCTTGGCTCCTGTCCCTCTGCAGGACCTGCTTCCCTCTGCTCTGACTGTGTCCTGCCTCAGCGCCCTGTCCCTCCTCAGGTCCTGCTGACCAGGCAGCCTCTGGTCTGCAGCACGGCACACGGGTCACTGCACGCTGGGCTGTGGGGTCACGTGTCTCGGTTGTCCCTCCCAGCCCCTTGTTCCCGTGTGCCTGGCCTGGGACTTCCTCCAGGTGTATTTGTGGAGGAAGCCAGAGAATGGGTGCAGGGTGCGGACAAGCCCCCATGGGCCTGCACATGAAGTGGGGTCCCAGGCAGAATGGCCAATGGGCCTCCCAAGTTTCAGGGGCAGACTGTGGTCTGCGGGCTTTGGAAACTCTTGAGGACAAGGAACAATGACCTGTGTGGGACGGAGGATTCCAGATCCCCACTCTGCTGTGGGACGGAGGATTCCAGATCCACACTCTGCATCGTCCAGTGGGAGACCCCCAGCCCACAGCCTGGGTTTGTGTGTTTCAGTCCTGGCTCTTGAGCCCTTATAAAAGAGACCCTGCTCCCACCCCGGCCCTGCCATCTCCTGCTTCCTCTCTTCCATGTCCACCTGCCCCAACGTGCTGGGGGCGGGGCTGGTGCTCTAGGACAGGAATTCTGGTCCTGGCTCCCACCCTGGGTGTTTCTCTCCTGCAAGTCAGCCCTAAAATGTCCATTACTAGAAAAGAAAAGGAAAATGCTCATTTGAAAGAAATTCTTCTCTTAGGCAATGCTGAGACATTCTCCTAGCCCCAGCCCCACAGAGCTCCAGCGAGTGACGGACAACAGCTGACGGGGAAGTTCGTCGGTCCTAGCCAGGGCTGGAGGCGATGCCTGTCTGTGCGGCTGGGAAAGCCTCCTCCTTGTGGCTGGAGCCACTGCTGAAGGGGCTCCACCTGGCACTTGTGCCACCAAAGCCCCTGAACGGGCATCCAGGCCCACTCTTAATAAAGATGTACTGCTCATCCTCAGTTCCAAAGCTTGTTTATCCCTCCTCCCTGACCCCCCGTGTGTTCTGGGGGAGATCCCTCCACTGTCAGACAAAGACTTCAGAACAACGGCAGTCAACCCATCGGGCGCCAGCAGCGTCTGCGTGTGCTTCTCCTTCTGTCAGTGCCCCTCTGGCTCAGGCCAGTGCCCAGCGCTTACAGCTGGGAAAGACACACACACACACACATACACTACATGGGCACATCATGCACACAAGTTCACATGCACACACACCCACACATGTGCAAACACGCACACAGAGGCACACACACATTCTCACACAGGTGCACACACAATGCACACACGGGCACACCCGCACACATGCTTACACATGCACTTACCTGCCCATTCCCACACACACACACACACACACGCAGGCACACCCCTCCACACACATGCATGCACCGCTTCTCACAGATGCACAAGGCAATGCAGGCACTCATGTATGTATACACGAACACACATGCACAGGCACGCACTGTGCATACACACATGTGCATGCACACACAGGCCCACACCCACACATGCACTATACACGCATGGGCACACGTGCACACACGTTCCCAGCCCCCCACCACGCAATCACACAGATACCGAACGCCCTGCAGCAGGTGAGACCACCCGTCGGTAGAATTAGGGGCCTACAGAGGGTTCCGTCAGCAGATGCAGGCAGTTTGGGGAAGGGGTTGGGTGACAGCTGAGGCGGAGCGGGGAGGCTGAATGAGGGAGGGGGTTGGGTCCCTGAGGTGGGGCAGGGGGAAGGGTGGGAGGTGGCTGAGGGAGCTTCCCAGGGAAGCTCAGAATGAGGCAGTCACATGGGGGGGCGCTTTCTAAGGTGAACGCTGTGCTTCCCCCTCCCCCTACATTCTGTGGAAGTTCCTGTAGACAGGAAGTGGGGTGGGGCCTGTGGGGGGGTGGGGCCTGTGGGGGGGGGGGGCCTGTGGAGGGGCAGGGCCCATGGGAAGGTGGGGCTTGTAGGGCGGTAGGGCCTGTGAGGAGGCGGGGCCTGTGGGGAGGCGGGGCCCGTGAGGAGGCTTGGCCAGTGGGCAGTCAGAGCCTGTGAGGAGGTGGGGTCTATGGGGAGGCGGGGGCTGTGGGGAGGTGGGGCTGGTGAGGAGGCTTGGCACGTGGGGAGGCGGGGCCTGTGGGGAGGTGGGGCCTTTGGGGAGGCCGGGCCTGTGAGGAGGCGGGGCCTGTTGGAAGTTTGGAGTCTCCCTAAAGTGAAGAAAAACCCTCCTGGGGAGTGCAGGTAGTGTCTTCCTTTGTCCTTTGGGGTCATCTCGATTGTCATTGGCTCACAACAATGTGCAGACCGGGTGCACTCAGGACGCTGGCAGGGCAGTGTTGAGTGACAGCCATGCTACTGACGCCCGCTGGGGGTCTGCGCCCAGCCACACTGTGCTGGTAGCTGGAGGTGTGGGGACAGGTCAGACCCAGACCTGCCCTGTTTGTTCCACAAACCAGAAGCACTGCAAGCCAGATGTCGCTCCAAGTTCACCTGAAGTCCGTCGCTCCCCTGAGCAGCCAGAGGAGCAGGTCCTGCTGCAGTTTTCTCCACTCTGCAGATGGGGAGACTGAGGTGCAGGGTGGTCACATGCAAGTCACCCCGCCAGTGAGGAGGGGAAGCTCAATCCCACCCAGGGTGTGGAAATGCTGAGCCTGGTGGTAACTCCTGCCCCAAAGGCCCCTGTGCCGAGCGCCTGGGCCCTGGGGCAGCAGCCACATTCTGGATGATTTTATAAAAACAGTTTGTGCCCCTCAAAGTGGGCACCTGGCTTCATCAGTTATACTTCGGAACAGCTCCATGCCCACTGTGGAGGCCAAAACCTGGACCTGTGCCATCTCCTCCAGACACCCCACGGCCTTGTCCCCACCCCAAAGGAACCATGTCCTTTCGTTTGTGGGAATCACTTCCCTGTGTTTACCTCCCTGAATTCTGTGGTGTAGCTTTGCCTAACTTTTTTTTTTTTTTGAGGCAGAGTCTTGGTCCATCACCCAGGCTGGAGTGCAGTGGCACAATCCCAGCTCACTGCAGCCTCTGCCTCCTGGGTTCAAGCAATTCTCATGCTTCAGCCTCCTGAGTAGCTGGGATTACAGGTGCACGCCACCACACATGGCTAATTTTTGTATTTTTAGGAGAGATGGGGTTTCACCATGTTGGCCAGGCTGGTCTCAAACTCCGGACCTCAGGTGATCCACCCACCTTGGCTTCCTAAAGTGCTGGGATTACAGGTGTGAGCCACCTGTGCCCGGCCAGCTTTGCCTAACGTTTTATAATAACTTGATTTTAAAAGTGTTGCAAGTCTGTTTCAGTCTGTAAGTCTCTCCTGTTGCGCTCTTTTTTTTTTTTTTTTTTTTTTTTTTTTATAACATGTCTGCTGAAGGACCGGGTGGTTTGGCCTAGGATATTTCCCACATCGGGATTGCTGCTGGCGCCCTTTTGGTGCAGTACTGTCTGTTCCTCTGTCCTCTGAGCTTCCTACGTGTTGGTGGCTGGACCCAGAGACTCAGGCTGCATCCCCGCAGCAGGATCCCAGGTTCTGTTGTGTCCCCCCATCAGGAGGACACAGGACAGGGCTGTGCACTCCTAGGGTGGTGGCCAGGCTTGCTCTGTGCCTGAAGCCATTAATTGGTTGAGGTTGTGCGATGGTGGTGTCCTGAGTCTGGAAGTTCTTTTTCACTTACTCGTTGGGATACTTTCATGGAAACTTCTCCACACAGTCTCATCCCCCATGACATCGTCGAGGAAGCAGGATGAAGACACAAATCTTCACCCGCAGCCGCTGCTTTTCAGGAAGATGCGCCGGGTCCCCGAAGCCCTCCTGAGGGTCGGCTTGTTCAGTACCACTGTGCATGCAGGCCCCTTTCCAGCGGGAACTGTGGACAGCATGGAAGGGAAGCAGAGGTTCCTGCTGCACCAGAAGCCTTATGGGGCAGTGGAGGGTTTTGCAGAACTGAAGAGCAGGTGCCCGAGGAAGGAGTTTTTACCAGAAAGATACTTTGAAAGCCACTGGAGAAGCTGAGTTATGAGACAGCTTTGCACCACTGCAAGGAATACAGACCCCAGAGCAGGGAACCGAGTCACCGCCATGCCAGGAAAATGGCCTAGCCATCAGGGTCCCTGGTGTGACCTTGCCATCGGAAGCAGAGGGGTCCCTGGTGTGACCTTGCCATCGGAAGCAGAGGGGTCCCTGGTGTGGCCTGGCTATCGGGAGCAGAGGGGTCCCTGGTGTGGCCTGGCCATCGGAAGCAGAGGGGTCCCCGGTGTGGCCTGGCTATCGGGAGCACAAGGGCCCTTGGAGTGGGCTTGAAGCTTCTTCACCTTCACTGCGCCTTCGGGGGCACCTCTGTGCATTTCAGCAAGGCTTCAGTGAGCAGGCGGGGGGTGGTGGGAGCAGACGCTGTGCTGTGCAGGAGGCCTGAACATGAAGCCGGCCGAGGAGCAGGCCTCCAGCCATGGCTACAGCCACACCAACAGGAAGCAGGTCACCTTTGGGCGCTCCTCAACGGCGAGAGCTCCCGGTCCATGCCGCATCATCTTCGGGAAGAGTCTGACTCCCGAGATCTACACTGCTAGAAAACCCTTCAAACCACCTCCTGCAGGCTGGAGTTCTCTTCTTCACCAGGTGGAATGAAGGAAAAGTCCATTCGTTTTGTAGAAGGCAGGGGTGATGGCAGCCGGGAAGACCAGACCAGCAGGCTTTCTAGCAGAATGAACTCAGGTCTACATGATTATTTTTGTAAATCTGGTCATTTAGTAAACAGTGACTGCTTCTGGATTTAAAAGAAATACGTGTCATTATGCATTGATGAGCTGAAATGTGTTTGGTGGGTTTCAGTCCGCTGCAGTTCTTATCATCTCCCAGCTGGGACTGTCCTGTCTCTGGCCAGGGACATCGCGTCAGGTTGGTGCTGCCTCCTGCGTGCTCTCTCAGGGTCAGCTTGGTTGTCGTGTAATTTACATACAGGAAAATGCACACATTTTAACTGTCAAGTTTGTAGAGTTTTAACAAATGTTGAGTTTTGCACTCATGTAACCACCATCACAACCAAGATCGGGAACATTCCATCAGTTCAGACCTTCCCTCCTGTGGCCCAGCAACCGTGGACTGGCCAGCAGGGGTCAGCGCCGCCGCAGCTGGGACTTAGGAAATGCAGTCCTGTGGCGCGTGGGCTGTGTGCCTGACATCTTCCTCCCAGCACCGTTTCCTTAAGACTCATCTGCACTGCTGTGCGTATCTGTAGGTTCTGTTCCTTTTCGCTTCTGAGAAGGGCCCCATTCTGCGACAACACCATCGGCCTGCTGATGGGCATCCGAGGCTCTCAGTCTCCACCAGGGTGCAGTGGACAGAGGCCTGGTTGCAGGGGCCACGTAGGGCTGGCGGCAGTCACTCCTGCTGCACAAAGTGGTGCTGGGTTGGCTGGGGTGAAGATGAATCAATTTGCTCATGTGGCCAAAAGGCCCAGAAAATCGGGCTGGATCCAGAACCCGAACCGTGTCATCAGAAATCCTTCTCCGTAGCTCAGCTCCACCTTCCCTGGGGCTGGCTTCACCCCCGGCAGGCTGTCTGCAGGCGGAGCAAAGGTGGCCTCGGGGGTTTCAGCCTTATATATCTGATCGGGTGGGACCGAGAGGGAGAAAGAGAGAGAAAGAGGGAGGGAGGGAGGGGGAGAGAAAGAGACAGAGAGAGAAAGGGACAGAGTGAAAGAAAGAGAGAGACAGGATGGAAAGAGACAGACAGAGAGAGAGAGAGACAGAGAGTACGTGCGAGAGAGATCCATTTCAAGACACCCAGCAAACACCCCAAGATGGACACTCGCTGGCCAGGCTTGGGTCCCTTGACCACTTGGGGTGGGAGGGTGGGAGGAAGCCACCCCCCAGAACTACCCAGGTT